GCTTACTTTATAGCAAGACTGTCTATCATAGATAATCAAAGCACTCAAAGTTATGTCCCATTATATGGGAGTAACGTACTCTCCGAACGAACAGGCCTGGCTATGTTTTTCTCGGAACCTGGTGCCAAGCACTTGCTATAAGAAGCATGGTCTAGGTTGGTACACAGTTGACTGGAAAACAGAAACAATATACGAACGTTTTTTGCCGTTAACTGCTGGTAACGTCTACACTGATGGAACGTTTTTCGTATGCTTTCACAGCAGTCCGTAGCTCGGCCGGAATTATGGTTTAGAGTTGGGGATTTCGCACATTCTCTGAGCTAGCCTTTCGACACACACCAAGTTTAACAGTGTCCCCTTCATAGGTATAGTTCTATTTCTAGTATTGCATTTTGTTGGAGAAAGTATATTTGCTAGTCGCTATTTGTTGATATTCGTTACCAGTCTGATTGATCGTTGGTGCGGATAAAGTAAAACAGTCCCAACCGAGAAATCCTTGCGAAACATTTTTTCGAAAGTCTCAGTGTGTGAAGCATCCGAAGATCTACAGGACGTACCCTACGAAGTAGGAGTTGCCTGATGAAGTTTAAAAGTTAATCAGTTTACAAAGGCTAGCTTCGTTCATGAGGATTCATATTTTTCCTGCTGGTCTCTATCTGACGTGGAGAAGAGTATTTCACGTTTTTTAAAATTGTCTACTACTAAGCTCCACAACTGTCGGGAGAGTTGTGGATCACGACATACCCTCGAGGAATCAGCGTTGTTTAGGTGTCGAAAAACATTGGTTACCTAAAGATGCTGTAGGTCGCCTAGAATCAGTACACAGGAAGATGGGAGGATCCTATCCCGATATGCCAGGGTAAGGCAGAATGCCTATATTTCGTACTGCAAACAGCTGGGTCCGCTGAGCTCCGTTGCCAGATTCTTGCAGATTGCTACCGAATTTAGCATTTCCTTCCCAAATCTAGAATGCGCATATGACTGAGAGAGCTCTTCTTCATGACTAATTTTTGACGGGACATCTCTTACTCAAGTCCTGTGGGACTTTATTCAGCATCTCCCAGCTTGCTTATTCTAGAACTGGCTGCACCATTGCTTAAGAAAGCTGACGGAAAGATAGACTTTCTGCAAACACATGAAAGGCCGGGAGAAGAGTCTTGCACTTGCAGTCGAAGAGTAATAGTAATCGGTGCCATGCAATCAAATGTGAAGTCTGGACCGCAGTGAAAGGAAGCCCACAGTCGCCACTTAAATATCTGAGAAGGAATTTTCCACAAGAGGAATTTTAATCTTTCAAAGTCCACCGCCTGACATCGCAGTCTCAGAGCTGTAGTCGAAATCATCATTTGGGGATGAAGGCCACCGGAGAACTTACGAAACAATTACAGGGGTGACCTTGAGATAGGGTTCGCGCCATCGTTATCTTTCTTCGTGCGGCGGATTCCTAGACAAATTGAAATTCCAGGGTCTTTGTGTTGCAGTATTCTTGCCCCCAAACCGTGTTTACATCATGCGCGTTCCATATTATCCATGTTCTTCAAAGTCTTGAAAATTTTCCTGCTCGCATAATAGTCATGTACGTGAAGTGTGATTTATTTCACTTATAGGTTTAATGCGAAACAACTCGGTGCCGTGTCGGCTCAGTGGAACTCCACTTTCGAGGGAATCCTTTTAATCAAACAAAAGACCGATGCTTTATTCAAACGCTCCGCACGTAGATATACTATTATTGTTTAGTCTATCCCACTCTTAGCCTTCGAAGAACATTGGTGTCGTTTAAAAGGAAACCTTCTGGTCATCCTTCGCACCGACGACCGAACCTCCACTGATCTCCTTGGCGTCATCATATTAGAACACTGCTCTGTTTCCCTTTGTTCCGAAGCTGGCGTTCAACACGCATTCAAAATAGGTACTCCTTCCACCTTGTCCTTAACTGTTCATTCCCTAGAATTCAAATCTGGCGATGCACCCATTCTCATGGCGGCACGGTCTGCAGCGGAGGCGAAGATGTGGTGTAGACACATATCCGCAGCGGGCTTATCCGAACTTGTCGCCCTACAGGCCCATTTTCGTGAGGAGCTGCGCAAAAGGACCGGAACAGATCCCTTGGACCCCTTGAATAAGCCTTTTCCACGTGCTGCATTGGTTGCCGGTATGCATGCTCTCACGTTCGTCTCTGTCTGAAGGAACTACCATTGTTGCATCTGGTGCAATTATTCACGATCTCCCAAAGAG